TTTTTTTCGGAAGACGTTTTATAGTCTGTAACTCAGTAAGATTTCTACCTGTGCTGTACTTATCTGCAGAGGAGGCTGGAGTGAGCCGACCCAGCTCCAGTCTTGGTGGTGTCTGTGTCTTCAGGAACAGGGTGTAAAATGCTCAGAGCTCTGCCTCTCCTAGGGACACCTGGGGACCCTCCTGTCACACAGATGCTGATTCTTAGCACATGCCCCCTCTGGTCTTTCGTCAGCCTTCTTTTCTGTGTCTTATTCAGTGAAAATGATGCACTTTGGAAAACCCAGAGCAAACAGGGAGACGCCACCCAAGGGTCCTTGGGGAAGAGACCCTTTCATCCTTGAGTAAAAGCTGCGTGTTAATGTACTGAATGGTTCAAAACCAGAAACACACAGCCTCTTCCCGTTTTGTGAAATTTTAAGTAGATGTTCTTAGTGTGTATGAGATTGTAGACTTGTAAAACACGGCATCCTTTCTACATGTTACAGCTTGTTTTTTTCAGAAAATCTGCTCATCTGGGCATCTGTCTGTGCAAGTCTGGAGACTTCCCCTGGAGGAGACCCTTCCTGGACATTCTGAGCTCGACTCCTGTGTGTGAGCAGGACAATCAGACCCTGTCCCTAGGGGGCTCTTCAGCCCCCTCCCTCTCTGACCCATCAGGGTGCTGGCCCGGAAGACACCGTCTCCCTCACATCCTTTCCCAGTCGGCCCACTGTTTTGTTTCCTTAACTTTTCCAGGGTTAGATGGAATTCCTGTTTTCATTGCAGAGTCGCTGTTTGGTGTGCACCTTTTTGGCTCCTTTGGCCGTTCACAGCTATTCAGGTTCATGCATCAGTTTGGCTCCTGCCGGCTCTGTGCTGGACACAGGCACATGGGCAGACTTTGTTGGGCTGGCCTTTGCTGTGAGCCTGGAGGGAGGAGCTTGGGGGGATGTGCATGAAGGTGACAGTGACAATGGGTGTGACTGATGCCCACTGTCATGGGGCTCGGGCACGACCTCTGGGGGGCAGACCCAGCCTCACTGGGAGGGCAGTGTGGGATCTGTGGGGAAGTGGAGAAACAGGAAACGACCTCATGGGGTCTGGAATGGGCTCTGCATTGAGAATAGGACTTAGTCTTGTGGCCAGAGCCTGGAGCCCGTTTAGGGGGAGAGCAGGCAGAGGGTCCAGGAGAAAAAGGACAAGGCCAGGAGGAGAACGATGTCAGAAGCCAGCCTTGGTGGAGCTGTAACTGGTCTCACGGTCAGACACATGTAGAAGTGGCGTCAGGCAGGGCAGTTCCTGCCTCAGGGCCCTGAAGCAGCCTGCGGAACTCAGGGTGCCTTTTCCACACCATGTTGCCTGTCCTTTATTAAATCATGTACATTCTTAATGGAACATTTATTTCTTTAATATCTAAACATAATCACATATTGTAAACTGCTGTCAGCAGTCGTCACCTGCCTTTGCAGCTCACTTCCCATCACTGACGACCTCAGCCCCGACCTGCCTTCCTGCCCTACTCCCAGCTCCTTTCTTCTCTGTCCCTCGTTCCCACATATTCTCCTTGTCAGGTAGTGCACATTTCACACACTGCTGCAAACAGTAACCACAGTCTATCCTTAAAGATTTGATATCGTTTTGGGAAAAAATTAAGTGCATAATCATTTACAATTACTTATTTTAATTATTTAATACAATTATTTATCATTGATCAATTATGCATTTTTTAAAACAGCAAACTGCTAATCGTTCATCTATTTGAATTTTCGTCGGTGTCCCTTTTCTTTGATTTGGATTGGGTTGATGTGTTTACGGCAAAGCCTGTGGACGGACGGCCGTTGTTCATAAGATTTCCGTCTCTCTGTTTCAGGTGCTCGCCGCCATCTGCCATGTTCTGCACGTAGCATATGCTCCTCCTCGTGGCAGGCACACGTCTCGTTTCTGGGAAGCCAGAAGCTCCTCTGAAAATGGAGAGATAAGGTGCCGTTCCTGCAGGCCTGCGCCACACAAGGCTGTGCCGCCACCAACAGCCGCGCCCCCGTTGTCCCCCCTCCGCAACTCATGTGACAGTCGTTCAGATGGATCGCAACAGAGAGGCCGAGATGGAGCTGAGGAGGGGTCCCAGCCCCTCCAGGGGCAGCAGGAGCCACGAGGCAGACGGGGAGAAGGCGGCATGCCACAGCTGCTGCATCTGTGGCAAGAGCTTCCCTTTCCAGAGCTCGCTGTCGCAGCACATGCGTAAGCACACTGGGGAGAAGCCCTACAAGTGTCCTTACTGTGACCACAGGGCTTCCCAGAAGGGCAACCTGAAGATTCACATCCGGAGCCACCGCACGGGGACCCTGATTCAGGGGCACGAGTCGGAGGTGGGCGAGGCGCAGCTGGGTGAGATGCGCGTGTCCGAGGGCCTGGACGGCTGCACCAGCCCCACCAAGAGCACATCGGCCTGCAACAGAATCCTGAACGGGGCCACGCAGGCGGACAGCGGAAAGATCCTGCTGAGGAGCAGCAAGAAGGATGCGGAGGGCGGCGCGGAAGAAGCCAGGGTGCAGTGCGCCTTCTGCAGGAGCAGGTTCGAGCGGAAGAAGGACCTGGAGCTGCACGTGCACCAGGCCCACAAGCCGTTCAAGTGCAGGCTGTGCAGCTACGTGACCCTGCGCGAGGAGTCGCTGCTGAGCCACGTCGAGAGGGACCACATCACTGCGCAGGTGCCCCATGGCGGTGAGGCGTGCGTGGAGAACGGCAAACCCGAGCTGAGCCCCGGCGAGTTCCCGTGCGAGGTGTGCGGCCAGGCTTTCAGCCAGACTTGGTTCCTCAAGGCGCACATGAAGAAGCACCGGGGCTCCTTCGACCACGGCTGCCACATCTGTGGCCGCCGCTTCAAGGAGCCATGGTTCCTCAAGAACCACATGAAGGCGCATGGCCCCCGGGCGGGGAGCAAGAACAGGCCGCGGAGTGAGCTGGACCCCATTGCCACAATCAACAACGTGGTGCAGGAGGAGGTCATTGTCGCTGGCCTGTCGCTCTACGAGGTCTGTACCAAGTGCGGGAACCTGTTTACAAACCTGGACAGCTTGAACGCCCACAATGCCATCCACCGCCAGGTCGAGGCGGGCCGCACGCGAGCCCCGGCCGACGAGGGGGTGGCCGCCGTCCCCGCGGACACCAAGCAGCTCTTCCTACAGTGCCTGAACCTGCGGCCGGC